CTGAGGGGAGGATGATTGACAGCTGAGGGGGCGGGACCTGCTCGGTGTCGCCAGTTTTAATTGGCTGCGCGCCGAAGGGGCGTGGCCAGCAGTGGGTGATTGACAGCTCAGATGGATGATTGACAGCCGAAGGGGCGGGACCTTCTCTGTATCACCGGTTCTGATTGGCTGCCAGGCCAAGGGGCGGGGCCGGCGCTGCCTTAAAGCTTCCAGGAGGCACCGGGAATTCCCTGTTTTTTGGGAATATGGGGCTGTTCGGGGCCATTCCCGCTGAGATTCCCGTTTCCCCGCCTTGCCCAGAGCTGCATCATAAAGAGGTACTGCGAGAAGAGGTTCGTGTCCAAGTACCTGGCGACCATCGGGATCGACTACGGAGTCACCAAGTGAGGACCCGGAGATGGGACACGGGGGTGGGAATGTGGGATGGGACTGGGAAACTGGGATGAGCCGCGAGGGCGGGCTCTGTTCCCAGGGAACAAGGGACAGCAGGAGAGGGAACGGCCTCCAGCTGGGCCAGGGGAGGGGCAGGTGAGATATTGGGAACAATTCCCACATGGAAAGGGCTGTCAGGCACTGGAATGAACTTCCCAGGGCAGGGCTGGAGTCGCCATTCCCGGAGGGATTTCCGATCCCTGTGGATGTGGCCCTTGGGGATGGATCCATGGTGGCCTTGGCAGTACTTGGGAATGCTTGGATTCCGTGATCCCAGAGGGATTTTCCAACCTGAACCATCCCTAAGGATCCTGTGCCATCCTGGCACTGTCCCAGCTCTCCACAATTCCCTGGAAGGAAGTTCCAGGAGGTCCCCAATTCCCAGGGAACGAGGGACAGGAGGAGAGGGAACAACCAGGGAGGGAGTTTGATTGGATCTTGGGAACAATTCCCACATGGAAATGGTGGTTAAACATTGGAATGAACTTCCCAGGGCAGAGGTGGAGTCGCCATTCCCAGAGGGATTTCCAATCCCTGTGGATGTGGCCCTTGGGGACACGGATCCGGGGTGGCCTTGGATGGTTGGACTTGACGTTCTCCCAGGGCTTTTCCAAGCTGACCAATTCCAGGATTCCCGGGTTTCCCACGTCTCTTTTCCAGGGTGCAGATCAGGGACCGGGAGATCAA